ACTAAGGAGTTAGATAGACTTAGATAGACTGAACCACGCATAGAAAGATATGAATTAGAGAGCTTTTTAGTTGAGTTACAAATAAAGGACGAACGGCTCAAATCTATTGCGAATAAAATCGAAGACCGTTTAGATGATGCAGAAATCTAATCGGAAATAGAGCAGATGGATAAATTTAATTAAGTAATTATACTTAACTCGGTAAAATCAAAAATAAAATAAAATCATTACAATTCGCATTTGCTCAAGAACCCTCACATATGCAACTCATAACAAACCAAAGTAGTCCAAATAAAAACACGAAGTTACCTAAATTGAAAGTTCAAACATATTACAGGACCCATCTGAATATTGAAATATCTTGAATCAATCTGAAAATTCGATTGACAAAAATCCTCCCCTTTTAAATATTGAAAAAGTTTCTTATTTGTATAGTTGCCTTGGAGACGAAGTTCTTTCTTGCATTGAAGGTTTCGATATAAACCACAGACAACTATAAATCGGCTCTTAAATTAATCGAAGATTCCTTTGCTAAGAAAGACGTGTTAATTAGTGCCCATATGTCTAATTGCTGAACAAGACTCTGCTAAAGAATATTCTAGTTAAGAAATCTGTATTTTAAGTGCAAAACCAAAATTGAGAATTTTGGAGAGAACTCACTCTTGAGAGTTAAGGTATAAAGTCAGAGGATTACAGAATCATGCAATGAGTTGTAATGTTGAAGTTTTTTCCAAGTGACCTTGTTTCGAAATTCAGCAAAAAATCAAATATAGAACAGTAATTCTAATTTAAAACAGTTAATAGATTTTTTGCTTTGTTCCATTACTGCAAGGGGGAGAACATTTTATATACATTCTCCTTCTTCCCACGCAACACGTAGCCAGTATAAATGATCTAACCAAAGAAACTTTGGTGCCCCCAGTCACAACAAATTTCTTTACTTCCCTTAAGAAATGCTGACCAGTGCTACTTCAAGCACTTGCATATTTTCTGCTCAGGAGCACTTAAGGCATCTTTGTGAAAATTTGAACACTTTAAGATAAGAGAGATAAGCTTTTACGGAAAAAAAAAAGAGGTTTTTTATTATGTTGTAATCCAAATTGCGATGTAAAGGCTTACCAGATGGGAAACCGCTCCTTTTGCAACGGTATACATGCCAGCGCGATGTGCTTTAAATTGGAAAATTCTAAAAAACAAACGATTGGACGTGAGTCAGAGGCAAAATCTAATGAAAGAGTTCTTCTTTGTCGAATTATATAATGAATGACAAAGAAGGGATTTTGTTGCAATGTGTAATGGTAGAAATTATTGCTAAAAAGCCGTCAGATTTTTTTCTTGTTTATTTGACAATGGTTCTGAGTGCATATTCAAAGAATAGTGTTTCCGAAAGGCTGGGATTAAAGTTTGTTGGTTTGGCAAAATTAAGTATTTATGGTCTTAGAGAAAAATTCTTAAATTGCAGGTTTTCCGAAGGGTTGAATTGAAGTCACGAAATGTTTTGAATAGAAGCGAAGTGTTTATTAAAGCATTAGTAAATGCTGAAAAATCGAAAGGTTCAATGAATATTCCAGATCGAAGTACTAGTGTAGAAATGAAGTCCAGAAGATTTCCTTTAATATTTTATTTCAAGGAGGCGTCTGGCAATTGCCAAACTTCATTGTTGATAAGGTTAGATTATTACTGGGATTTGAAAAAGAGATCTGAGCTGTTGAACGTGTCATTAGTAGTTACAGAAACTGCTTTCCGATGGTCACTCTAAAAATATGATGAGTTAACTAAATCATCATATTTTTTTATCTCGTTCTCAATGGAAAGATTCTTCTCTGCTGAACTTTGGGAATTGGAGAGTTTGAGCATCAGAGGTGACGATATAGATATTATTGGTGTGGAAGAAAAAGAAGTTCTAAAGGACTTTAAATAATCGATTTAGTTTATTCCGAAAGGTAGAAAAGTTGTAAAAGAGAATTTAAAAGCGCATTTTACTTGTAGCAGATACTCTGTAAAATCTGCTTAACAAATAACAGCTCAGTTGGCAAAGGATCAAATGTTTGAAAATCCTGCATTTCCTGTAACTGGAGTTCATTTTATTAGTCTAATCTTCGTTTGGCAAAGGTCACTTAACAAAGGTCACATATGGAGTTACTTGAGCACTTCATTTAGAATTAACTACTAATATACCAACGAACATTTTTATTTTGTTTAAGACTTTTTTTGGCAAGGCAGTGGAATTGAAAGATCATCATTTCTGATAACGCTAAGAGTTTTATGACCGCAAACAAGATTTTGAAATATTTTTGTAAAATTTTGGCTGGTTTGAATTTAAAACATTTTGTTGTGATACATTAAATAACATGGCAGTTTATCATTCCTCATGCTCTATGATAGAGTGGGTTCAATGAAAGACTCGTGAACTCTTTAAGGAAGACCATTTAAGGAAAATCCTTAACACCCTTAAGGAAAATTCTTGGAAAGCTCTGTTTTCGTTTCGAGGAAACGACTACCATTCTTGCTGAAATCAAATTGGTATTGAATTATAGATACCTCATTGATGCGATCAATGATTTAGATGAACCCTCTTACTCCAGCCCATTTTTGCTTCCTGGTTAATAAAATGTTAGCTATCCTATACATTTTATTGAAATTTTCGGCAATCAAACTTCTGCAAAGGCAAATTATAATTCATTTTATGAACTATAATCAATCTATATACTTCAACGAATCAATTATAATTCTTCAAGCTATAATTGATTCGTCGAAAATTATATCAGACTGAACTTTCACACCCACTCTGGAAGAAATGGAAAGATAATTATTTTATGCAATTAAGAAATGCACATAATTTTATAAATTCATCACCAGGATAAGGTCTTAAAAGAGGAGAGGTAGTTTTGCTTGAAGGGACCGCTAAACCAAAATTTCCATGGCCACCTAATATTATCGAAGAGGCTTTACTGGCCGTGACGGACATTCGTGCCTTATTCGACTAGATAAGGAGCAATATAAACGACCAATCCAGTTAATTTATCCCCTTGAAGTAACTTGATTGCTTATGTGTGACTAATATCATTAAGTATAGTGCATTGTCATAATTGTAATATTATATATGTTATCATATTTGTATTTGCGTTATTATTATTGAGTAATATGTATTATATTTGATCTCTTCTTTAATCTAGTGTACTCTTAAAAGAGTATATAAAATATGTTTTTATTTAAAATTTATAAACTATTTGCTGAGCTAAAAGAAAAATTATAAACTATTTGCTGAGCTATTTATCATATAGTTTAATAGGGACAAAACACTAAATCATTCTCATTGCGGAATTCTTGCACAGTTTTATATCACAAATAATAAAAGAGTGGGTGTCCAAATAAGGAAATCTAATAATTGGATTTCGTTGCCAAACGTGTAAACTATTATCCTTATAAATCGTCGTCACCTTTATTTTCCTGATATAAAATTACAAATAAATTTTGTAACAGAGAATAATTTACTACCTTGTTCCTATTAAACTAAATGGGATTTCCTTTAAACTAAATTTACCATTTATTTACCACTAAATTTGAAGTAATGAACATTTATCGCCTTTTCCCATTCCTACTGTCGTAAGCAAACCTTCAGTTATGAATTAGCAAGAAATGGAAAAATAACTATTTCATGTAATTATTCGTGGCTCGAATCCTAACGAAGGCATTTTTCATTTTTGCTGTTTCCACTCCCGAAACACAATAATTTGAACAGTACGGCTCGATATGAAATGCGATAGACAATAACACTTCAACACCTAGGTTTAATCTGCAGCGAATGATGCCTTTCTGCTTTCCAGATAGCAAGTAGAACATTCAGGGTTCGAATAATTTGACGGTCTTAATTTTTAATTCTAGTTGCTAGTAAAGTATTAACAATTTTTCTGTCTTTTTAATAACCGAAATCAAATAATACTGATTTAACAAATAGAATTTAGTTCCCTGACAAAATTTAAACCAGAGTGTATAAAAGATAGTGTTAAATTACGCATTGAATTACAAATCTCTTTTTACTTCCTTGTAGGAAGTAAAATATATATATATATATATATATATATATACGTGTAGGATGAGGTTAGGATTAAAATAGAGTAAGGCAGTAGCATTTTAAGGGCATTTAATGATGAAAGAATAAACATGATTATGGTATTTACAGTGTGAAAGGAAGTAAGATAAAAAGTTCTTCATCATGAAACAGAATCACATCGTCTATCAATGTTCTCGAGCGGCATGGTTCAGCTCCATCCAACGCCACGCTCTCACATCATCGGAATGCAAGTCTGTCCATTTCCTCACGCAGCTTTAAGAAGTATCTCGCCGCTGTCGCTGTTGCCAAATTCAGGAAAAGGCGGACGAGTTATAGGAGCGAATTACCACACGGCCATTCTGCCTTGCCGGGCGTCCTCGCCTGGGGTTGATATGAAAAGAAAAAAGGAAAAAAAAAAAAAGCAGAGAAAGTGATGGAAAAAAAATCAATGTCCAGGTGGCGAATGTTAGGTTTGTGCACCACCAGTTCATCTTATCAGCACAGGTTGACATCATAATGGTTCCTTCATGGCGTATCTTTCGTACTTCATAACAATCAGAGGGATGAACTGTCTCATAAGGACCGAATAATTTGGGACTAAGTTTCAGTTCAAGCTGGATTGGCATTTGGTGTCCATGTTTATATTTGAAGGCAGGTTTGTGACGTTTCTTATACTGCCGTGTATGTAATACTTGCTGTAAACGGAGGAGGTTCGGTTAAGCTTCAATGCATAATGAAGCTTTTTCATCATTATGCTGTGTCTGCAATTTCATTGTCTTTGAAGTTCGTTTAAATTTTCTTCGTTTATATTTCCAAGCTCTTTTCTTGCGTTTCTTTGGGCTTGAAGCAGATAAAATGTATGAAACAGTAATTTTTCTTCCAAATATTTCAGCATTCTTTTTTGCCTCGAAAGCTTCAACTGGAATGCCAGAGACAAGTTGTTTCCTTAGAATATTTTTCTGTTCTTTGGGAATTTCTGCACTTTTAGCAGGTGTTTACTCGTTTGCTTGATCAGCACATGTTTTTCAAATTGATTCAGTTTATTTTTCACAGTTTCTTCAGTATTCTGCACGCTGGGATCATTATCGACATCATCATTAATTTCATGACTGTCATCATCATCATCTTCGTTGTCATCATCATCTTCATTCACATGATCTTCATCAATAACAGCAACGTCATCTTGATCAACATCATTATCACCATCTTCATTAGCTTCATGAGTGCCGTCATCATCATCAGCACCATTAGCGTTATGATTGTCGTCATCATCAATATCATGATCTTGATCCATGTCGTCATCTGCGTCATCACCATCTTCATCAACATCATCGTCACGAGCTCCATGATTGGTATATTGGTATCAGCATCAACTTTGTCATGGTGATCATCCAAATCCAAATTGTCATCATCTAAATCCAATTTTAAATCGTCATGTGCAGCATCATCATTTTCCTTACTTGTTTTCTTCAACTGAAATTTCATTTTCTGTTATTTTCTGAAAAATCTTCCATAGTAGTGTTAACTTCGTGTGGGTTGTGAGGAGTAATGGTATGTTGAACTTCTTGGAAAATTTTCGATTTTGAGATGTGTGAAAGATCAGGTGGAAAAGTGTGATCATGAGTAACATTAGCAACATTAACAAAACTTTGATCATTATTATTGCTGCATAAATGAATACCATCTTTATCAAATGTAAATCGAGTTTGTTGCAAAGGTCTATTCCAATAATGGCATCAAGAGGAATCATATAGTTTTTTACTACATGGATTTTAGCAGGTAAAATAGTGTTTGTAATTTGAATGTAGTGCTGAAAGAATCCAATACTTTGAACCGTGTCTCGGCCAAGTCCTGAGCATAATTCTGGAAGGATGTAATGGTGGAGAACCCATTTTGCGGTTTGTTTTCTCCGTAATAAGTGTTGCTTGGGATCCAGTGTCGTAGAGAGCAGTTAACCGATTTCTTTTAAGTTGAATATCAACGTGCAAAGGATTTTTAGAAAAATTTTGAGCAGAAAGTGCATTTACAGTACTATCAGATGTAGAACAACTAGGAGCAGATTCCGTGGTCGAACTACCAGAACGTTTGGGACAGTTGGAATGAATGTGACCATAATTTTGGCAGCCATAACAGAATTTGCCATTAGATTTATTAGGACAAATATTGCTTTTGTGACCTTTTAAACCACAAGAATAACATACTGGTTGAGTGTCTGATGTACGTTTAGCGTAAATTGTAACATTGGGAAAGGAATTTGTAAATTTCTTTGGAGTATTTTGCCTCACATTTTTTGAATTGTTAAAGAGTTTTTCATAAATCTTCACTTTTTCTTTAAATTCAGGAATGGATTTACAACCGTATAAAATTATTTTATTGTTTGATGAATCAGGAATACCGTTTATAACATAATCAATCAAAGAAGAATCATCCATAGAACCTTTGTGTGCGAGGTCTCTCATAGCTAAAAATATTCTTGTAAAGTTTCAGATGTTTTCATGTGACGAGATTCCATTATTTTATGTAATTGAAGGCTATTAATTTTATCCGAAAATTCATCTAATAAATGGTGTTTTAATTGTTCCCAATTAGTAATTCCACGAATTGATCTTATTAATGTTAAAGCTGGACCTGTAAGACATTTTTTAACAAAAATTACTTGGTGTACAGGATTCGTGATTTCATAGAGATTAAAAATATCTTCTATGTCAGAAATAAAAGTTTCGCGCTGTAATTATCCCGAGTGGAAAAGGGTTTGATCAAATCAACAATGTCCTTTAAGCCAAAACAACGAACACTGTGAACATTGTGAACATTGAAACGGAACACTCTGTGTTTGTGAAAGCAATAAATTTCCAGGCGCGCGTTCAAGAGAGATTTTTGCCTCTATTTGTTTACATAAAGAGTCATCTGGGGTGTCATTAATGGCTGTTTGGGCGACGCTATGCGTCGAGGGTGAACTTTGCACCAAAGCTTCTTCTTCAAGGTCGCTGTAGTCAGCGGAATCTGATTTTAATAACGATATATCAGCAAGATTCGTAAGAATATTGTTAGCACAGTTTTCAATATCGATGGAAAATTCTAAATGCAGTACGCTACATATGGCAATTAAATCCGCAAGAGAAAATTCTTTGATAATTTTTTGTTTCGTATCTCCAAAGTTAAATGATTTGGGAAAACCAGAAAAATTGTGTAACCTAGCACGATTCTGCCGATCACCATCTGGGCCAAAAAACTAAACGATGTAAAACCTTGATATGCTTTGTACTGGCAGTTTTTAATGACTGTGCAATGTTGGGATAATCGTTAAGTGTAGGCATTTTTTATCAGTTTCGTTTTTACCAAATATGAAATTCACAAAATATGTATGTTTCGATTTCATCAAATATTATTTATATGGTGTCAGAAATTATCACAACAGAATATATTCTTAATATTTCTTATTATTCACAATAATATTAATTTTTCTTAGTATATTACACAATAACTATGATGTTAAAACGCTCAAAAATCATAAATGAAATTGTGAACATATGATTCAAACAAATAGTGAAATATATCGTCAAACAAATCTTCAAATAAGACTACGTGAAGAATGAAAAATATAATTTCACGTTAAGATATGATATAAAAATTAATAATGCTGATGCTTACTTAAGATGACGTTCTAATTAAAAATGCAATTTATGTACTCAAATGTAACTAGGAAGTATCGTGTCTGAAAAAAGGATGATTTGATATGCATGGAAAAAATGAAGATTGTGATTTTTCAAGATATGTTGTGCTAAATTGCATCATCATGCTTTCCACTCTGCCATTTTCAAACCACAGTTTCATTACATATATATAATATATGTATGTATATGTACGCCCACTCTATTACTCACTCCTTGAGCTCAGTTTTTTATTCTTTTATATTGTTAAATTGTGAATTTTTTGCTTAAAAATGATTAAATTATGTTGTTGTTATGTTCCGGATAAGGTTCTTATGCCTTTAGTAAATCTGCATATAACATTGCAGAATTATCGACAATTTGAAAGTTGTTTAAGTGCGGCTAAGCCTAATTTTTTCACCATAGCAACCATATTTGTTTACATTTGAAACTTGGCAGAATAGTCAATTAAGGAGTCGGTGGACTTTAAAAATTAGATTTTTAAGTTTTTGTGTTTTCAACAAGAAATTTTATACATATACGTATTATAACATCAGTTTATAAAATATATGATCAAAATTTCAATTTATTTTAAATTAAAAAAATTTAAAACAAATAATTCATTATTTTAGTTAAAGATTTAAAATGCTCCTTACGCGCTAATTTTCAATATTTTTTCCTAATTTTTAAGTTAGTTATAAAGACTTGTCAAAAGTTTTTTTGTATCTGTTATTGAATATGATGGATTAGAAATTTTTAAAAAGGATTTTTGTGAACTTGAACCCAGTTTTCGGAAAACTGTCACCTTTTGTTAACATTATCACAAGTTTAAACTTCTTAATAACCTCATATCCAAAAATATCTTAGATCTACTGTAACATATAACAAGATAGCTTCTTCCAAATATCATTCATTTTTAACAAAAAAATGAGACGAATGGAGCATTTTCAAGAGATATGAAGTGCGAAACATTTTGTTTTGAGAAAACCGAATTTAAAGTTTTTCTTCAAACTTATCTTTAATACATGATCATGAGAAACAGCAAATTAAATATGAATATGTAGACACTAGATAACATTTTCGTATCATTTAACTATTTTTAATCTCATAATATTAAATATGAGAAAAATAAACATATCGCAAATTGGTATGTGATTCGAAGTTAGAGGTAGAAACAATTTATGCATTATATCCAATGAAATTTTTTAAATTCACTCGCATACTATGTTTTACCTTCATTTGTTACATTTACATTATCTTTTAATGCTTTACAATATTTTTTACTATTTCTGTTTTTTCCAAGCAGGTAAACGTTTCCTTTTGCTTTGGTTCAAGCGACGTTGATCACGCTTTTTTGCAACAAGTAGGGAAAACGAGTTTGTTTCTTTCTGGTTATACGCGTATAGCATTCACACAACCAAAGTTAAATTCATTAAAAGTTGTCAATACTGACATATTTTAACCCTTTTTTTAGAAATGAACACTTGTTTTGGGCAAATATATAAATTATTACGTGGATAAATAACTGTTGAAATATACTTTTTTTTTTACATTTTCTTCAAAACTTAAAGAGCAAAGTTTACGTTGTTTACACATTTGAAATGCTTGTAACTTCTTTAAAAATTAGAATATTTAAACTCGTTTTTTTGGCATACGATGCAGTTTTGTATATGGAATATTATGCCAGGAAAAAAAACAAATTCAATATTTTAGTTTATTTTTAACTATTTTAAAGTCCTCTTAAGACAGTTTCTGCACCTTCAGTGTCTTTTTGCCGAACGGGACCATAATAAAACTTTTAGTTTTGTGCACCGAAAAACCTGCCTTGCCCACTGGCCGAATTGCTTTTTTGCGTAGAAACTCTAATTTTAACTGTAAAACTTTTTAAATTGTTTTAACTGTATTTGGTGTTTTATATTTTTCTATATTTTTCAATTTCATGAATATATTTTGAAGTTTTATATTTTTTGCTTTTCCGCAAAGTGAGAACTGTATTAATTGAAGGAGGAAAATACATCACTAACGAAATTCGAGGAAATAAGTTTAAATGAATTGCAGCAAAAAATGCGTATAATTTAATATGTCGTACAAGAACGTTATGTGGTGTATGTACCCTTCAGACTTACCTTCTTCCCTGAAATCTGTTATTTTCTTAACTGTAATCGCCCGCCTGCGGCCGATCGGTAAAGTCGCTGAACGCTGGTAGTTCGGTCCGAGGTTCGAATCCAATGAACGGGCTGGGTGCATGGGCGTTTTCGTGGTTTTCCCTCTGTGTAACGTGTAAGCGAGCCAGTTTCCCTTAGAAAGTCCTCCACGCAGGCATCCCTACCCTTAGGCAGATAGCCCTCGAGGCTTTGTCGTGATTAAATAACCTAACCTTAATTGTAATCTTGATGAATTTTAAATTAACTTTTAAACAAGTAGACCTATTATTGGAGATGTCATACAACAAGAATCAGCGTAATACTTGTAAATCTTGCAGGACTTGAAAAAAAGAATTTTGCAGGAATTAATTGTTGTAACTGTTAAACCTAAATGTAACTGTTAAACCGTTGTAACTGTTAAACCTAAATATGTTTGAAGTTAATTTGGAATCTTAATATGGATATAAAAAACAATATTTTGATTTTCAAGTTTATAATTG